TGCTCTACTAGGACTTGACTCCTGTTCCAGAGTTCCACAGAGAATACATTGCGGACATGCTCAATTTCCCTGTCAGTCTCTTGCAGTTCTTAGTTTCTCCACTTCTTCTCTTAATTCCACCACCACCATGAGCATCAGATCTCTGAACTGCTCACATCTAATACAGGTGTTGTCCTTCCCATCCTCCATATCAAGCTCCAGGCTCCAGCATTCGTTGCAGCCAGCTGCCTGAACAATTGCATTCCTGTGTGTGGTCTCTGTTTGGGTGCCCACGTTTTTTTTACTACCCGTTGCATGATTGGCAACCATCCCTTTCAGTAACTGCCCTCTCCCCATATTTGTATACATATAAATATAATTTGTACGTGTTGCTGTGTTTGGTTTTTTTTGTTTGTTTTTGGTTTTGTTTTTGTTGTTGTTGTTTGTTTGTTAGTTTTTTTTTTCTCCTCCGCCCCTCCCCCTTCAGTGAGCGAGAAGGCCGCAGCCTCCTCTCCTTGCAGCCACGTGCTGGGTTCTGTTTGGACCTCAAGCCGTTTCCTTGGCACCCCCTCCCCCTGCTGCGACACTTCCTTGAAGAATATAGCTACTGAAGTCATTGGTGACTGAAGTGATTTGCTGAAGGCAACTTATCTGTATGCAATATGGCTTTTGTAGAATCACATATTCATTTTTTTTGCACTAATCATGTTAACTGTCTTAAGCCTCTATTGAAATTGAACAAAATAAAGGTAAGTAGCATCATCTCATTCTTGAATAATGAGTGGAAACTCCATTTCTCTAAAAGTACCAGATTAATCCAAAATAAATGTTACTTCCATAACGAAAAGCTATATGCAGTCATTTGCACAATATTGAAGTATTTTTTGAATCTTACATCGGTCTGAGGCCCAAGGAAAAAATTGGTGTAATAGGCCCATCTGCTGTCGAGGTTATCTCTCTTATTTCCATAATTGCCCTGTACAGCCTTTAGCTTTCTTTTAATTCAAATACTCGTTTGGTTTTGTGTGGAATCTTTTTCCTAAAAGGCATCTGCTTGTTTTGTTTAGGGTTTAACTTTCACTGCTGCTACTCATGTTGTGTTTGCTGAATTATATTGGGATCCAGGCCACATAAAGCAAGCAGAAGACAGGGCGCACCGAATTGGGCAATGCAGTTCTGTGAATATTCACTTTCTCATTGCAAAAGGAACAATGGATACTCTGATGTGGGCGATGCTGAATCGCAAGGTACGTGTGCAACAGAACCTAAATGTCCGTGTATGTTCCAAATTAGTATTTTCTGGCTCTTCGCTCTCCATTTAAGATCCAAAGATGAACGAGTTAACTCTTTGCTGAGGTGAATGGGATGGTTTGCATCTACAGGAGATTACTGCTTTATCTCCCTTCTAGTATCTTATTCCTCTGGTCGTTCAGCTTACAATTTTAAGGGTTTTTTGCAGAATTATAAGCCAACAAACTAACTCTCTTTAGAAGCAAACTGATAACTGTTTCCTGCCAATATATTCCTCTCTTGCTGAAAAGTAATCACTGTATTTGATGTTCACTTGGGGAATAAAACTCTATTGTAATTCCTGTAGCTACCTCTGAAAAAACTGACAGTCCAGTACATTAAGAGTCTCCTTAAACACGGAACAGATGGGTCTCAGTAATTCACCAACAATGACACCTGTACGAGAGTTGTGTCATTAGACTGCTTCTGTCAGTTAGTTCTGCCTTTGTTTCCACGTGCTTGGCAAAATGTGTAAAGACTGTAAGAGATGTGCACAGTGTATATATTCTCTTTTAACTTCAGTAAATGCTGACACTTTATATACACCTTTCCGCAAGTAGTGGTGTGTTAAATATGCTGCTTACTGTTACTCTTGCAGAAATGTCTGCTGGAAGAGGAATAGTTTTAATCACATAATTTTTAATCACTACGGAGTTTCTTACTTTGCAGATGCTGAGTTAAGTTTGCAAGGGAAGCAAATTAGCAAATATAGGTAAATAAATTTATTCCAACACTTTAATTCCTTGGAAACTTTATGCAAGTTTTCATTCTGCAGGCCAAAGTTACAGGCAGCACCTTGAATGGCAAGAAAGAGAAAATCCAGGCTGAAGAAGGTGATAAGGACAAGTGGGATTTCTTGAGTTTTGCTGAGACCTGGACCCCAAATGAAAGTCTAGATGATCCCAGAAATGAACTTTTATTTACGCATGTAAGACTCTAAATGTGTTTTTCCGTTTTCTTTCATTTTAAAAAATTATAACAGTTGTTCATTTGAGCTTATTGTGTGCTGTGGACTTTACTTATGGAGAAGCACTATGTAAGTGGGAAAAGGTAATGTAAATTCTGTTAAAATTAGGTGGAGTAGGGGAAAGTGCTCTTCTGGGTATAAATGTCATCTACAGGCTTCTGATGGGTTCTTACATTTAGGTGACTGACCCACTCTGAGTCAGACCAAGTGATTTCTATTTAAATTACAGCTTTATTAGCTGTCCTGAATTTGATTGCCTATTATTTTTAAAACAATGGTTAAAAGCATTTCCTTGTAATTTCCTTGTAAGTGACATCATCAAAAAAGGCATGTAATATATGAGTTCTGTGTATTTCTTTTCTGATAGTGCTATTTCAGAATTTTCATGAGAATATTGAAAACAGTTTCGACAAAACATAAGAGTGTTGAATTGCTCTTTCTGATAGCTGTTTGCCCTTAAAAGAAGGTATCTTTTCTTTCCATCTCCAGAATAAAAACAGCTTCTTGTATTAGAGAGTAATATTAATGGAGAAATGTCATCATTTTAACAGCTTCTGATGCAGTAATTTTAAATGATGTTTACATATTTCTTTCCTTTTTCTTAGTTTGAAAAGGAAAGACAGCATGACATACGTTCTTTCTTTTCCCCAAAATCCTCCTCTGAGAAGAAACGCAAAATATTTGCTTGTAATGAACCATTACATAATGATTCAGAGTCTTCTGAAATCACGAAAGGGAATGCAGAGAAGAGCAGAGAAAACCTGGATTCCACAAGTGATGTGGATACAGTTTGTCATGAAAGTACCTGTGAACGTGAAGCTAAAAGAGCAAGAAGCATAAGTGGGTCTACTCTGCTCAACTCCAGCAAGAAAAAGGAAAAATCTTTGACTGGAAAAAAGCCCTCTTTGTTTTCAGAAAAAAACAATGAAGTTCCTTGTGGCTTAAACACTTTAAGCAAAAGTACATCTTTAAATAAAGTCTGGCAGTGTAGTGCTTGCACTTACAGTAATAGTGAATTCCTCCCTTATTGTGAAATGTGCAATTGCCCTCAAAGCAATAACGGTAAGTAACCTGTGTTGCAGAAAAATATACACATTTTTCATTTCAGTTGTGATTAGTTTCAGAAAATACATTATTTTTGAGTATATGAATATACACAAATCCAGGCAAAACATGAAGAATGGTGTCTCTGTGAACAGATACCTGTTAAGTGATCCTTCTTAATTTTGCTTTCCCCAGGGATCTTTTGCATGGTTCTAATTTGAAACAAATGGAAAAATCAGATAAATATTAAGATATAAATTCAGTGAGGAAGAATGTGTGTTCACATTTCTTTGCAACAAATGTAGCTTTCCTTTTCCTTGAGGTTTATGGTTATTCTGAATCCAATTAAACAGCAAACTTTTTTCCTACCTGTCAAAACTAAATGATATTTTATTAACTTCGATATTTTATATTTGTCATGAGACAAATTACCTGGAAAATATGGCATTTCTTGCTCCAACAGGTCAGAGTAGCTGTCTTTTATTAAATTTATTTAATTTATCTGGAAACTTAATGAAACATTATCTATCTTCATATTTGCCATTTCAGTTGCAAAGGAGGGAGTAAGGTTCTTTTTTAAATTTTATTTTAAGTCTCTGTGCTTGTTCAAGTAAGGACAACTTCTGAATTTCAGACTTATAGATCAATGCCTGGAAAACAGCTTTTTTCTTTTATGGTATACAATAACAGCATATATATACACACACACATATATACATAAAAATAAAAAATATAGGATTGCTAACTGCGTTTTTGCATATATTTTGACATCAAGATAGGTGCATGAAATTGCATAAATGGAAGACTTTTTTCCATGTTTTTATCCTCTAAATATTAAAGGTAGCTCTAGTTTCCAAAGTGACTGCACCATTAGAGAATAAAATGCAATGTCTTTGTATTTCAATGACATAATCCTGTCTCCAGATGGGTATTGATTAGGTTCCTGTTTGTATGGGTAGCACAAATCATTGCTTTTCTTGTTTCTTCATCTACAGTTGAGAGAAATTGTGAATCTCCCACTTGCCAGACTGAGGAAGATGTGTCAAAGGACTCCAGAAGAAATGAAGAGAGAGCAGAGTGCAGTGCTGAAGACGGAAGGGAAGCTGTTGGGGAAACTGTGACCCAGAATTTTGTTAAAATTCACAATCGGGGAACTTCTGAAATTGAAAATGAGGAAAGTGATGAAGCGTGTGAAGGTAACGTGGGACTCCTATGAAAGAAAGATGACATGTCATTGGGAAACTGTATTAAATGCCTCTGGCATGAAAAATAACTTCTAAATAAAAACCTACACATCTGAAAGATAGGCAGAAGTGTGTACACTAGGACGTGACTCTCCTGCGTTAGTCTGGGACATATACTGAATTTTGATGATGGACAAACCCAGCTTGCCCATGCAAGGCCTGAAGCAATACTACAGAATTTTTGGCTGATTTAAGAACTGCGTCAAACTAGAGCTGTCAACTTGTGTAGTTTTATTAAAACTAATGGTGACATTTACTTGTATTCAGGACAGCCACAGGCAAAACAGATGATAGGTAATTCAGGAAAAACAGAAAATTAAAGTACACAGGTATCTTAATAGCTTGCTGCTTGATGTGTGTACCTTATTATGGTGGTTCTGCAACTAGATACATGTATAATATTGCTTTTAAAGTCTGAGTCTGAAATGAAGAAAAGAATTTGCAATGTCAACATTTTTTTCTTTTTATAGGAGCTGTAGATAAATCAGAGATGTTAGAAATATATGATGGGCTTATGTTTTGTGCAAGCAGGAATACTGATAGAATTCACCTCTATACAAAGGTAAACCTCAGCTTTGCATGTTTATTATATTTTTTTAAATTACAAAGTAAAACATCCTATGAAAAATGTATGTATACTTTCATTGGCTATACTTTTTATAGAAAGACCAATGCTCTTGTATTAGGTTAAATGTACAAAAATTAGGTATTTTATCATTCTAGTTCTTTTTCACAGTGGAATTAAGTAGTAATTGCCTAGATATAAAACTTCTAATACTTCTCTTGGCTTACAGAATGGGGCTCATATATTAGATGTATGCTCAGAACATCTATGAGAAATGCAAGTGATAATTGTTTAAGATACCTTTTCTTAAATTATAGTGCCTTATCCTAAAATATTTTTAATAGAAGAACATTCAAAATTAAAAGAAAAATTACAGGGAATCCTGAGAGTAAGTAAATAAAATATTGTAACCACATTTTCAGAAATCTAGACATCAGTATTGTGTGTAGGACAGTAACTTCCTGAATAAACCACATTATCATCACTCTGCAATTGTTATGGGAGTACAGAAGCCAGTAGTTGGTAATTTTCCAGGTCATTTTTCCAGGGAGATTCAGGACTTTCTGATTCCTTTTTTTAAGGGGTAGAAAAGTTCACTGAGAAGATTTTTTTTTTTAAAGCTACTGAATGTGTTAGTGTATTCAGGTGCAACTGCAAAGCATCACAACTGAGACAACACATTGTCATCAGGCTGATAGTGCTAGGAAAAAGTCCAAAAGAATTTCCTCTTGTATCTGAAAACTTGTTTAATATACTTAAAATATGCTGCTTCCTAGTTTCACACACTTTATTCAAAGACAGAGATGCATTTTTGGATGGTATTTGGGCAACTGCCTATTGGTCTGAGTTGTTTTTAGCTTGGATTAGAATTTCATTATGCCAGATACTGCACAAAAGCTCTCTGCTGAATGATGAGACACTGGGGAATTCTGCTTTGATTCCTTCTTGAATGTTTGTGAATCATCAGTAAGTTCCTGAGTCATACATACCCAGTAGGACAACATGTTCCTTAAAAATTAAGTGAAGGAGAGCTTGTTCAGACATTAAAAAAAAAAAAAAAAAAAGAGTTAACTATAATAAACAATGCTCTGTCTAGGATTCTGATTTGAAATTATAATGAAGTGACATTCTCTTGTTTACAATCATTCATTTCCCTTGGAAATTCAGTCAAGAGGATTATAATTTCTGTTTCTTAATTTAAGGCAGCTTGTGTGTCTGAACTATTTGCAAAGAAAAAAATTCAGATATATTCAAAATTAAAATTTTGTCCCTGTTCACTTTCCGGTAAATTAATGTGAATCACATTTCTTGCATCTGTGCTATTATCACACATCTGTGTCTTATTGTTTGTTTCTGGAGAAATCTTACCTTGAGGGACTAAATTTAGCAGGAAGGGAGGATAATTCACTTGAAATAGATAATAGTTTTTTTCTAGACTGGTGCTACATTGCATCTATAAACAAAACTGTTTGCTTGTCTAGGATGGTGAGCCACTGAATCATAATTTCATTCCGTTGGATATACAGCTGGATAACTGGGAGGATTTACCAGAGACTTTCCAGCACAAACGAAATCGTTTGCTGGTAAGAACAAACTCTACTGGCACAGTAATGTAATATTTAATGCAGAAGGCTTTGCCTTACCTTTTAAAAAAAATGCAGAACACTTCCAGACCTGGGGATCTAGGCACAGTTTTGTCAGTGCAAGTAGATCTAAATGTTGATGTGAATATTAATTACGCAGTCTGTTTGGCAAATTATCATGCTGCCTGCTAACATTTCAGTAGATGGAATCAACCAGCCATCATTTAATTTCTCATTTACAGGATTAGTAACTAACATTCATAAGTGAACAAAATAGCTTTTTAAAGGTTAGGAATTAAACAGGACACATACATAATGAATAAGAACATGCTGGGTTGTATCAGAGCTGCAGTTCTAAGCAGGCCTCCACTCTCACTTCTTCCTTTGGTCTTCTAACCATTTTCACAGCAGTGTAGGACACAGCTCCACTGAGACATGTAGCTTCAGCTAATTCAGTAATAAAGGCCATACTCATAATGTTTTTTGAGGAAAGCATTAAGACTGTAAACCTAAGTACTCAAGTAAGGAAATACAAATTTTAAATTGAATGTGCAATATTATCTGCTTAACATCATTTTCTTAACTGTTTTCTCCAATTAAAGAGAAATATAATTTGGAAAATCAGATTCCATTACTTAGGAACAAAACTGGTTATTTTTTGGAGGTTCTCCAGCAAGGAACGGAACTTAAATTTTTTTTAAGACAGGTACCTCACTGATTCAACCAACAGTTTTGTGAAGCAGCTAATGAGTGGGTAACACAAATGTTACCAAAGGATTTCAAAGCTATTTGCTAGACTGAAAAGACAAGTTAAGAATCCCATATTTGTGGGCAGGGGGTGGCACTGCCTTGTGGAGCTTCTGTCCCACAGCCCTTTAGATTAAAAGATCCATATTAGTAAATGCTCTCAAAAAGAATCAAGAAAATGCCTTCTTGTTTCTGTTTCCGTGATATCCTGCCATTTCACTGACTTCTTTCTTGCTGCTATGACTCATCCATACACTTTCATGTTTGCCACGTAAAGTTGCTCCAAGGAAAGAAAATCATTGCCATGTCATGTATGAAAGTTTGTTCCTAATAAAGCTGAAGTCACAATTAAGTCCATACTGCACAATGTATTTATTCTTCCCTTCCCATAGTCCATGCTCAGACACAGTGTGATACTGACTGTTACAGGCAGTTGCAAGTCAGTGGGGAAGAGAATGGAAAAACAGAAGGAAAAAAAACAACAAAGAAACCCAAACACCAAGCCACTTGTTCAGTTGTCATATTGTTATTCCCATTTATTTCATATGAGGATGGGATAAAATAATTTTTCCCCTACACACATCCTAAAGCAAACAGCCATGTTATAAATTCTGAATTCCCATGTAGAACAGTTTTTCCCTCGTTTCCTCACTGTTACATGGGTATAGTTATTGAGGAAATCCATTAATCACACCAGTCCTGTCAGTTTACAGCTTCAAACTTTTTTTTTGTGGCTTCCCAGCCTGTAAAAAAACCTGTTAGATACAGTACTAGAAATTAAGTTCCTCTGAGCCTCTTTATTTTATTTTACTTTCAAATTCTAAATACAAAATAAGGAAAAGGGATCAATGTTGGGCTATAGTCTCTACTTCCATTCTGAAATACTTTGTTCAACCTCAGGATCCTGTGGTTGTATCAATTTGAGCTTACTGTGAAAGAAGATGAAAGGCAGGTTGAACTGCTCAAAAGTGTTGTCCCTTGACTATTTTGATGGTAAAGCATGTCTCTGCTTGCTCATCACGTCTCTGTGTGCCACAGAAAAGAGGACAGTAGTACTGCCATGAAAACAGATGTGCTATGATGACAATTAGGTGATCTGATTTCTCATGTCACTAATTGCTAATTTAGGATAATAATTTTTATTATGTGTGTTTTTCTGGCACTGCATTATTATAAGGGGATATAATAACCTCAAAACAAGTCCATCAGTGATTCCATTAAAATTTTACAAGTTGGAAAACGTTTGTTGAGAAGTGGACTGGACTAATACCTGGTTGACTTGAAAGAGGTCTTGCAGCCTTTCACACCAACATAGGGGCTGTACACTAAGATTGTTAATCCAGTATCAGAAGGTTAGAGGAAGGAAGAAAGGTGGTCTGTAAACTCAATTATAAATGCTATTCAAGTAATGGGAGCAAACTTTCCTATTCTGAGAGACTGACTGGCACGGGAGGAGGGCTGCTGTAAGAAGAGAAATCCTTTGTGTGTCTGGTTTTGCCAACAGCAGTGTCTTGCTTGCACAAGAAGTGTTTACTTGAGGCTTTATCAAGAAGCCCTTCTCATCATTGCTATCCCTTCAGTTAGTAAAGGCCATTTCTGGCCTTATTTTCTACCTTTTGGACCAACACACATGGCAAAACCATTCTTGTAGTCAATGCTCACTCTGATTCTTCAGGAGATGTGTGGAGGGTTAAACCTTGCATGAAAAATGATATGAAGGGACCACCTCTGACCCCATAACAGCTGTTCTCACCTCATTCACTCCTAGCAGTCTCTGACTGTAATTAAACAGTGCTGTGCAGTGTCTGCCACGCTGACAGCATTGTTCTCCACCAGATCCTGCGCTTTGTGAAAGAATGGAGTCGCCTGACAGCCATGAAACAGAAGATTGTCAGGAAAAGCGGGCAGATATTTTGTAGTCCTATTCATGCTGCAGAGGAGCTGTCTAAGAAGCAGTCAGTGGCCAGCAGCACAAAAAGGTATGTGGCTTTTAATTTTTCTTCCTCTTGCTAGTTGCTGTAGGAGATTTGATACATTTGATGTAACTTTCAGGGGAATGATGACTAAACTGGTGACTGGGTGAGTGCTTGTACACAAATGTAGGCAGCCCAGCATGTCAGGGCAGGTGGAGTGGAAGCACCAGCTGCCTGTCTGGCACCCTGCTGCATTCAACAGCAGTTCCAGCTTCACTCTGCTGCATGATTAAACATCTGGAACTTGGCAGAGATTTTTGAGGAAAATCCTGACCTCAGTAAGAACCTCACCTAAGTAAGAATCTTGTTGTTTTCCCCAATTAGAAGCAGAAATATATCATTAGTTGCCATCAATGATATATTTTATTCGTAATTCACAGCATGCTCCAAGCTTTTCTGATACTCACTTTTTCTTTTCTCTCTGGATGACATTTCAAAAAACTGTTTTCCTTGCTGGATGTCACTGAAAAAGGCGAGTATTTAAGCCTTGTTAAAATGTAAATTTACCTTTTTTCCACTTTCTTTCCTTTTTCTGATATGCTGCCCTCCCTGACAGACATTTGCAGCTTTGGTGTTGTCATTGCTCTCCATAAAATGTCTCAGGTGTACAGGTTAACTCACCAAGGTGCCTCTGCAAACTAAAACCTTTTTATTCCTCTGGGTCTCTACTGTTAAATTCTCCAGGGTGACTGTTTTGCCTGTAGGTAAGAATTCAAGTAAATAAAGAGTTTCTAATTCCAGTAATAAAAGGAGAAGCAGAAGGTAATGTTTCTTAACCTGTTGCCTCATCATGTCATTCCATAAAATGTGGGAAAGATCTGTGAACTGTGTTAGAAAACCTACCATAACGTACAGCGGCCTTCTGAGGTCGTGCATAGGGTTTGGTATCTGTACAGTACAGAGAAACGTACTTGGGAGGGAAGTTGTCTGAACAGTGGTTTTGGGAAGAATGATCAGAGTGAAGTGATTTTAAAAGTTCCACTAAAGAGCAGTAGCATTTTATACATTTTCATGTTAAAATAAAGAAGTGAGTTCAAACATAACTAACAGAGCAAGGAGTCCTCCAGAGCTTGTAAAGCTTCCTGCATTATCTAGCGTGTCAGCAAGACCTTCCCAAAATGGCTGTCAGATTTCACTCTCGGGGAATTCCAAATCACTTTCAGTTTTTAATTGTTATATACAAAACGAATCATCTGCTCACTGGTTAGAGCTAAATCTGGTTTTAGAAAAAGATACTTGATTTAATATGGAAGTATTATGGTGAAGTATGTTTTCCCAAACTTCCTTAATTTTTCATCCAGAAATGAGGTATTTTAAGAGAATATGCTGTAGCAATCTTGCTGCAGTCAAGAGCGGATATTCTTTGAGGGAGATTGTTCCCTTTGTCTTATACTGGCAGAATTTTGTAACGTTTTAGATACGTGACCAAGGAGGACGTGGCAGCAGCCTCTCTGAGCAAAGCCAGCAGCAGTGGGGGCAGCGTGCGCCTCATCTCCAGAGAAAGGGGGGGCTGTCTGACAGACAACAGCGCTGCTGCTGAACAGTCAGCTCGTGCCACCAAGTAAGTCTAGCAATGCAAGCGCTTTCTCCACTGATGTTTACTTTTAAGGTAGCAAAACTATTTGTTATGAGTGTCTACCCTACTATAGTACAGTGTTTAGGTAAGAAACTTGGTGTAGTGCTAATGAGCTGTGTTTTATTCTTATAACTATTAGATTACATCTGCTGTCTGCTGATACAGTTACTAACGAATTCAGTCTGGCTAAAACAGAACAAGAAAAATCACATGACTCAGTTAGGAGAAAATAATGTTAGCTCAGACCTGCTTGTGAGATCAATGGCAAATAGGGGACACCAAATTTTCTTCTGTTTTGACTCAAAATTTAGAAGCAGGGAGAAAAGAACATGAAAATTCTGGACCAAAAAGTCTCTTTTAAAGTTTTTTTTACTAAACAAGGAGTGTGTATCCTGCCTGGAGGCAAGCCTTGTTCAGAGCAGGAAATTGATAGGCAGCTGTGAAGGTTGTGTATGGAAACGAGCATGTTTCCTTCAACATTTTTACTTCTGTTAAAGAGGGAGCTGAACATTTTACATGTGTGCGTGACTGGTAGAAACCACCATTTCTTTATAAATACAGCATTATTTCAGCTAGTAATTCACTGTTCATTGAGAAGTGTAGTAAGATGTGCAAAGAAAAATCAATTATATTGTCAAATATTTTTTAAATGGAAATCTGAAGCAAGTAGTGATTTGAACTGTGCAGGCATCAATCTAAGCAAGACTCCATTTCAACTAAAATTGGTATTTCAGAGCGTGAAAGAGATCTAATGGAAATATAGAGTGCATAAAAAGCCTACTGAAGTGTGTCGCCAAATACCTCCTTTATTAACAGCTGTACTTTGCTCTCTGCAAACAGGTCTCTTTCAGAAGGCAGAGAAGGCCCACCCGCTCTCCCTTTGGAGCAGGCTCAGGCTGAAGGCTCCTCCCAGCCCAAAGGCTATCTCCAAGCCTTGGACAGCCAGGGGAACCCCCTCTGCCTCAGCTGCCAACAGCCTACAGCACAGGGGGAGCCAGGCTGCCAGGCCCGCGCCTGGGACACGCGATTCTGCTCGCACGCCTGCCAGGAAGACTTCTCCATTCGCTCCAGCCAGAGCTACCTGAGGACTAAAGTGTTTGAAATTGAACGTGGCGTTTGCCAGTTCTGTCACCGAAATGCCCAGGAGCTTTATCTTAGCATCAGAGATGCACCCAAGAGTCAGCGTAAGAAACTTTTGGAGAGTTCTTGGATGTCTCACCTTCCACTTGGGCAGGTAATAGTACTGGATTTAAGTAGTAACAGCTAATCTGTATATTCCTGTTGCAGACAGTTCAGACAAATCCAAAATGTTCTTCTTAGAGCTTAAAGATCAAAGGTTCACCAAGCATCAACAACAGGATAACAGACAAACGTGTAGTTAAGAGTCCACTTCTTTAAGCTGTTGCACATTTTTACTTCTATTTTTTAATAGCAGCAGTTGATGATACAGCATTGCTGAAGATCACTTACTGCAACAATCAAGAAAACTGAACCTTTGGTTCTGTGTTTCCTTGACCCACTACAGTGTGCTTCAGCATGCTGCAGGCTGGGTGAAAATGCACCAGCTGAAATTACAGTTGTTTGCCGGTCCAGTGAGAATAACAAAAAAATGCAAAGGCTTACTTGCTTTCTCTTGATGAAAATGATAAAGACGTATTTCCCTGAATGATTTTCTTGTTCTCATGGTAGAACAGTATCTAACACTTGCAACAACATCCTGTCCCTTGTGTACTGCAGCTGAATGAGATTATAACCAACCCCTCAGAAGGCCAGTTCTGGCAGGCAGACCACATCAAGCCTGTTTACAGCGGAGGAGGACAGTGCTCCCTGGAAAACCTGCAAACCCTGTGCACAGCCTGCCACAGAGAGGTCAGTATGGTATGGCCAGAGGTCCTCACCTGCCCATGGGGAAGTGCTGTGGGCTGTGCACCAAGATGGTTGCCCCCGTCAGGGAAGAATTCTGGCACAGGGGCCCCTAGAGGTAATGCATCCTGGCCCTGGGCTTGGAGTAGTTGCTCAGCTATGGGACCATCTCACCTGCCAACCCCATGTCCCACCCCTGGCAGGCAGGGAGGACTCAGTGGCAGCAGGGCCTGGCTCCCATAGCTCCTGCCCCTTCTTGCCACAGCCCATATTTAGGTCCCTCCTCAGCCCTGTTGTCTCCAGCTCAGCCATCTCTGTGCTCCCAGCCTCTCCATTCTGTACAGCGATGGTGGAGATGTGGCATTAAACTGTTTCCTCAGGATCTGGAAATACATCACCTTAATAAACATTTGCATTTTATTATGTTGTCTACTGCAACATTAGACTGAAGTTTAAGGGTGGTCCAGTGCTTTCCTTGGAGCATGTTGTTGCCAGGTGACCATAGTTACTGAGCAGACCTGTCTGTGTTTCTTACAGAGAACTGCAAAGCAGGCCAAGGAACGAAGCCAGATGAAGAGACGTTCTTTAGCTACAAAGTATGGCTGTGATATCACAAAATTTTTTGTGAAGATGTAAAATGCAAAATGTTTTAAGTTGCATAACCATTTTACAGTTTAAATCAGTGCACAAGGAAAACTGTTTAAGAAAAAAAAAGCCACCAGACTTTGTAGTCTAAAATGTTGTTGGTAGAGGGAAGAAAATAAGGAATTAAAACGCAAGAAATCCTTTGTAACACTGACTGTTACAATCAGGCCTTGGGTGAGTATATCCAAGCTACTGCATCATGGTTATATTTTTATGACCTTGTGGTTTAAAGCTAAATTTCTGTGTATAATCTTGATGCAGATTTGAAACGTTACTGTTGTCCTATTACAGCACAGCTATAGCTGCAAGAATTGGAGTTCTGTTGAAATTGGTCTTACAGGGTTCAGTTGTATTTGGGACAGTATGAACCAAGAACAAATCTTAGTTTAAGTCCATTTCTTTGTTCACGTATCAAGGTTGCTGGAGAAAACACAGGCTCTGCTATCTATTGACAAAAATAGCATAAGTGTGTGATTTGTCTCCTCTAAAACTCTCACAGAGTTCAGACCAGTTTTGCAAGGCCTAACTGCTGGCCCTGGGCCTGACTTAAGAGGACTTTGGCACTTAGAAGTAATGTCTGTTGAAATCTATTTTACTTAAACCAGCTTGTAGTAAAAACTTACTCATGATTAGGAACAATAACTATTACCAATTACCTCATCAAAAGTAGTTTCCAACAAATGCTACAGTCACTTTCTCCTTAATGCGATTGCAGAGATGCCTGTTATTTTGGACTGTTTATTGGGGTTTCTTTATAGTTAAGTCAAATAAATACATTTCTTTTTCTTGGTGATTTTTAAAATGCATTCTCTCTCCCACCTATCAGATGCTGGAAGGCAGTCACTAGTAAGATCATAATGTGCATCCACACGCAACACCATTTTTTCTGACAGTACGTGACTGCAATTTCAAGTAAATTTAGTTAAAACAAGCTAAAAAGCTCTGGGTTATCCGTATGAGAAAAACCTCTTAAGATATTACACATTCTTTTTCTCAGTTAAAGATTTCAGACAAGGTAGTGTCATCAATGCATCTTCTAAACAGTAACTGCACTTTTCCAGCAAAGACATCTTTAGGTAACTTCCTGAAAAAAGTGTTACATGATGTTTGTGTTCTCAGAGTATGATTAAAGGAATCATCTCCTCAGCAGAATTTAGAACACCCTGATAACTGAGGACTTTTGAAATTTATACAGCATTTTTTTTAAATGTAAGATGGCACAGAAAACAGTATCAGGGAAGAAGCTTAAGTTACAGATTACTTAGTAATTAGCCTCCTGCAATTTCTTTTAAAGCAGCTAGACAGTTAAAAAAAGCTAAACTGGCCTCTGTCTTTCTCATCCCTTTTATCAGAAGAATTTGCCTCAGGTAAAACACACAGCCTGGAAAACAGATGCTGTGACAACATTTTGTCTGAAGAGAATTCAATTAACTCTTCTTTCTCCTGAGAAGTGTTTCTACTTGATACAGTTTATCTGAGGGAAGGGCTCTGCCTCCTACCCCTTTTTAGGGCAACAGCTGGGACCTTACTATTTGAGGTAGAACTGAACTTTCTCTGCTTCCTGTAGGCACACTGGTAAACAATGCTGTTCCTAGGGTAAATTATTCACGGATGAAATTTTAAAACTATTTTGCCAAAACCATCACTGGTACCCAAAGAATTCTGAGAGCCAATAAGTAGTTCAGATTTATTGAGTAACATCACCAATACTGTACCTGTTTGTACATTTCATTTTGCCAATTCTCATTAAAACACACGAAGGTCAGCGTAAAGCAACGCTCGCGCACACATACCACAGTGTCTACATGAAATCTGGCAGGGTTGGTTTACAGCAGCAGGTGAAAGAACTGAGAAATCCCAGACAATCAGCTCAAAGACACAGTCTGTGTTCAAACGGTCTCTGTACACCAGCGAGTTCCTGCAGCAGGACATCTCAGCACCTGTCCTCTACACTCATCTTTGGCCTTTGCGTCCAGGCAAGGGAATGAAAACCTTCCCCAAACCCTCCATCGTCCGCTTCAGGCTACTGGCTGGTTGAAGCCCCAAACATATCGATTTCTGTTTGTAAGAACTGTCCCAGACAAGAGCTTTCTTGCTGGGAGAGTTTAGCATGAACTAGAGTGTACTGTATACTTCAAATAAAAATAAGGATATTTTAGAAGTATTTGCAACTTAGCAATTGACCAAAAAATCGTGGGCTTGATATTTAAGACTAGTAATAAATACAAGTTACTTAACATTTGCACATCAATTTAAGGAGACTACTGTCACTTGATAAGGTCTGATTTAGCCACTGTAAAGCAGCACATTCTGCATGAGTTTCAAGATCATGTATTTGCATAAAGCCCGTTCATGTCCATTATTAAACAAGCTAATGTGGAGAAAAGCAAAAACATCATACGCTTCCTTTGGCCAAACTTGCTTCCCCGAAGATCTGATCAAAACTACCTGTGAAGCCATTTGAGACCTCCACGTGCTCCAGCTCTGCCCTGGGGAGCGTGGCCCTGGGGACAGCTGTGCTGCATCCTTGCCACACACCAGTCAATCCCCAGGGCTAGCTACTTGTGAGAACACAAGGTAACGCAGCTGGTTACCTCAGAAGAAGGTTGTATCTGCTGAGAAGGCACCTGCGAGGCGGAAGTCTTCCTTGGTGAGCACGCTGTACATGCGCTGGGGCAGGGGCTTGGAGTAGGGAGCGGGGCGGGGGACGGTCGTGCGCAAGATCACCTCGCGGCCCGCGGGCAGCGGGAAGTCTGAAACGGGGCCCGCGCCGAGCCTGCGCTCCTCTGCTGAGCCCGACCTCCTCAGCTCCTCATCAAGTGAAGACACTGCAGAGACCTGAAATGAGAGCAGAGGCATCATTAGAGAGCAAGCTCTTTCTTAGCATTAGGATTCAGAAATATTTCATAACAGAATCAGAGGAAGGCTAGAAGTGATAAACGCTTTATGTGTACACAGAGCAAGACACTAATGGGATGTCAGGAAATAAACTGCACACCGTCAAATGGAAGAACCTTCATGTGTGGATGGTGAAGCTTGGCCTAGATGAAGCTCCTCATTTTTTGGTGAGGGTTTTGACCAGAGGAAATGCCCCCTTCCCAAGCAGGGCTCTCCTCAGCCCTCTGTGGCTACACAAGGCCAAGCCAGCCTCCTTTTAAAAACAATCAGTGCTGCTACTGGAGTTGACAGTCACCTGCCTTTTCACACTCAGAATGCTACTTTGCTACGTGCTGCCCCTGGCCAGAGAGAGCCTTCCTGCAATGGCACTGCAGAGCAACTGAGACACTGCGCCATCTCCGTCTGCGTGCGCTGCCTCGGAGCCAGCGAGGCAACACTGAGGTCTGCATATTGCAAGAAGGGCCAGCATGCTCCAACCAGCCCGAAACTGCATTCCCCAACTGTATATACACACCCCCCAATACCCTACCAGGGTCCTAATTTAAGCGTGCCCAACTCAAGCTTCTCAGTACCACTGGGACATGGCAGAATCCACTGGACAGCCACCCTGGTGGCCACTCTCGGCTGCCTCCCTGCAGCTCTGCTCCTGCCCCCGCCCCCCCCGCGCTCCCAGCCACAGGACCTGCACTGGCACCACCCGGCTCCCAGCCTGCACCCCAGGAGAAGTCACCGGGGACAGACGCCACTTGGTCCCACCAGAACAACTCTCCAAAAACAACAGAGAGGATATGCCCTGTGCTACTCTTCTCCAAACCTCTCTGACCAGAAAGTTCAGTAGTTTGAGTACTGGTACCTAGACTGTGACATTCAGGTACTGTCCATCACTACATCCTCCCAAAACATCTGGCTGTTCAACGAACAAAAAAACAGTGACTGCAACAGAGAAGAACGTAAAGGCAATGCTGATATTTCAGCTTCAGAAAAACGTTAATAGTCACTTGAAGAAACCTTCTTTGGTTTGAGGGGGGTATTTTTGTTTGTTTGTTTTGATTAAAGATTTCTCTCTCTTTTTACTACCTGTTAGGCTCTAAAAATAAAGTCTGTAAATAAGGAAAAACCATTCTGGGAACACAAAATTATTTGTATGCTTAATATGTGAACAACAGTACAAACTAAATCAGACTGCTGCACTGTATCAACCAGACGGTTCAACTCTATGCAGCTAGGGAAGATGAGTGGCAAACGAGGGACAAAGTTGGTTACCTCATCAGAAGATTCAGTCAGCTTGGAAAGGGATGAGAAAAGAACCAGTGATGAAAGACAGAAACAAAGGCAAGTCAGAGGTGACTTACAAGAGGTTAGAAGGAGACCGTAGGTTTAAGAGACATGCACTCTACTTCCAAGAACATGCATTTGCTATCATAATTCTCCTGAGAAAACTTAAGAATATAACACATTTTACACAAATAATAGAGAAGAGTCCAGGTTAAAAAGGCAAGAAAGAAGTCATTCCACTTAGACTTACCAAACAGCTCTCTACAGGAGATTCAACACAAGGGGGTTTTGTAGAAGGTTAGCTCCTATCCCCCTAAGAATTCTTAATCAACAGTGACCAGCTACTAGTAGGAAGTATCTGTAACTTAACTTTAGTTACTGATGTCTCAAAAGAAAAAAAAAAAACACCACCTAGAAATTGTCAGACATCGTTATGGAACATTAATAGTAGAAAGTCTTCCTTGGCTTTAACAACCTAACAAATGCCTCAGTACTGGGAAGGCGAGTGCACGCGCTCGCACGCCCTGACAGGGCACTCTGCAAGTAAGGCTGCTTGCCACCCTGAGATCTGTAACCAGATTTCCCCTAGAGACTAGAAGGACAAAAATACATATTCTGAGAAATGAAAATCAGAACAGCCATGCTCTGCTTTCAGAATGGTGCTTTTTTACGCTGCTGTAAAATACACATTATTATTAAAGCATCCCTACGTTAGAAGCGTTTAATACCCACTCACAGCGTTCTCACAGCAGCGATTTCTAAACAGGATTTCAGGCTCCAAAATGTCTGCAATACTATGCTACCTTCTTATTACCACT